TAAGACCCTAAAAATTCTGTTTAAATCTAAGACCCTAAATTCTGTTTAAATCTAAGACCCTAAATCCTTAGGGTTCGGTGGCAGGGCTTGAGATGAGAACAAACAGAACATGAGATCATAGCAAGACTATGAGTAGCGTAATTTGAACTATAGCCTAAACTCCTTAAAAGAGGGTTATATAGAGGATGATATAGGGGATTACTATAGGGGGTATTAAGGGGGATACTGGGAGTTTAGAATATAGCGCATTTGTCTCTGGCAAACTCCGTTGCATAAGCAGGGTAGCTCCTTCACTGATTCACTGCTGCCGGTGTAAGAACTCCATTATGCAAGCACTCATGGGAACAGGTGTTAGAAACTCCCCATTGCGCGCTCCCTTGCGTCTTTGTGCTACAGGCCTGCCCCGTGCAGGGCACGTCCAAGATCGAGGCTGTCGCAGCCTGGGCATCTGGAGGAAAGTCAGGAAAGTCAGGGTTATATATTAGGGTGGGGTTATATAGGGCGTATATGTAGGCTTAACATAGGAAAGTCAGCACTTCTAAAGCCTGCAAAGTCTGCCGAGGTCTCAACTCAGGTGGTACCTGGCTGAGACTGAACTCTCGAGTTCTGAGCAACAGTCCAGCTCATGCTAAGCCATGGGGCCAGTAGGGTATATATATAAGGGTTATATGGGACTGTATGGGGATTGTATAGGGATTATATGGGGATGATATGGGGGTTATATTGGGTATATGTTGGGGTTATATAGGGATAATGGAAAAGAAAGTGAAAACTGCTATTTAGGCACTGCAAAGTCTTTGTCATTGTAGCTAGTAACAGCTAGTGGAAATTTCTGGATGTCTCTCGCGAAGCCATTTGCATCCAAGCGCCGAAGCTAATCCCTCCCTGAATCTGCTTGCACAAGTATCAGGCAGACCAGGATCATGGAAGCTTTGCGCCGTGGATGGATCGTCGGGCTTACCCTTCTCTCAAACTTGAGGGTGGTGCAAAGTCACGCGTACTTGGCGGACCCACCAAGTCGAAATCTGGTCAGGGCACAGGCCGGGACGGAGGATTGTCCCCACTGCCTAAACTCCAACGGTCCGGACAATGTGGCCACGCTTGGCAACAACGTTTGGCCTACGCACCTTGCTCCTGAGGGCCATGGCCTGTGTGGTGATCCCGTTCAAGGTCACTCACAACCCATAAGCCTTGCTGATGAGGAATACCTGATTCCCACAGACCCACAGAGGACCTACACCGCAGGGAGCGTGGTTGAGTTTCGTGTGGTGGTCTCTACCCACCACACAGGGCACTATGAATTCCGGCTCTGTAACACCGTTCTGGATTCCGCCACCCTCCAGTCCCCTCGAGAGGCCGGGCCTGCAAGTGACCCCACAGCTTGAGGCTCAGTAACAGTAGTCATAATAGTCGTAACAGTAGTACTACTAGTAATAATAATAAAAAGTGTAGTAATCGTAATAATGGTAAGAATAGTAGTAGTTCTAATCATAGTAGTAATAGCATTGGTCTTCCAGCATTATTATTAGTATTCTTCTTCTTATTATTGGTATTTTCGTTATCATCATTCTTGTTATCATCATCATCCTCATTATTTTTTAGTTTGTCCACCATCACTGTTACTGTTTCTAGTCGTCGCTTGCTACTGCTATTGCTACTACGCTTACGACAACTAAATGATGACAATCACATTGTTGTCCTTGCCCAGGGCCAGGATTGTCTTGACAAAGTCATCTTGCAACGCGCGCCGCCGCCTGGTGACTGTGTGGTGAATGACGCCAGAGGCCATGAGGTCCTGTTTAGGGTTGGGGGTGTAGGGGTGCTTCTCAAACTACGCCGACCAATGGTAGTTTCGCTATATAAGGGGACCCCAATATAGACCCCCTCATTAGGACCCCTATAAAGGCTACCCTAATTTTGGACACCCCCCAATCTAGGAGAGTTCCAGGTGATTTAGTTGTCAGTTGGGTACTTGTAAGGGGTAGCAAGCAGTATGTAAACCTTGCATGGGGTGTACCCGCCGCAGTTGTTCTTGAGTATGGACTCCATAAAGACCGAGTGAAAATCCCTCAGCCCTAAACCTGAAAATCATAGTTTCCATTTTCTTTTCCATTATCCCCATATAGGCCCAATTCAACCCCAATATATCCCCAATATAACTTATTCTCCATAAGTCCCGGGGGTCCGTAGAAAAGTCCCTGCAACTACTGGACCCAAGCCCCTTAAATCCTGAGCCTAGGGTCCTAAACTTTAAAGGTTTACAGTTTAGGGTTTAGGGTTTAGGGGTTTAGGGTTTAGTGTTTAGGGTTTAGGGTGCAAAACCCTAAGCCCTCAGCTCCAAAATCCAAAAGCTGAATCGTACTGAGTTCTAAGCCCTGAAATTCTAAGCCTTTGGAATCTTACGAAAACCTAAGCTCTGAAAATCCAAAACCTAACTTCTAAATCCTAGACCCTGAATCCCAAACCTACACCATGGGCAGGCGACTGCCAGCCCATTGACACGGAGAATCCCGGTCGCTGGTACCTTCCACCTCGTGGCGCCAGCCCGCCGGAAGCTGGGTCGCTGTTTAGGGGGGTTTAGGGTTTTGGGTTTAGAGTTTAGGGTTTAGGGATGGGCGAATTTGATTTAATTTTCCATTATTTAAAGTAATATCCCCTCAAAGTAAGTTGCCATTACGCGGACATTGCATGTTTCACTATGTATTCCTTGGCGCAAGTTCGTAGTGTAAGGAAAACTGATCATCTACTATATATTCCTTAATTTGAGTTACCCTTCGAAGGAAGTCATGTTGCTTGCTCAATTTTCCTTAATATCAGTTACCATTAAACCGAACGAATTGCTACATATCCATCGTTTAGCAACTCTAACCCCACAACTTATATAACCTCTATACTACCCATGTGCCCCCTACAAATGGTATCTTACTTGCCCCAACCCCTTACCCCTAAGCCCCAAGCCCTAAACCCCAAACCCTAAACACAACCCTAAACCCCAATGACTGGGTCGAGTTCTGAGGGGCGTAAGGGTAGGCAAGCCACCTCGCGCATCGTCTGAAGGGCTAATGGCTAAGGACCGTGCCACAAGGCTTCTCATAAGCTGGACTTATGGAGAAAAGGTCCCACAAAAAAACGCAAACCCTAAACCCTAAA